TGTAGCTTCATTACAAAAAAGGTATTAACAGCTTCACTGTTAATGTTAAAGTTACTAGTTTCATTAAAGGAGAACAGATGAATAAGGAGACCATTCCTTTTTTTCCATACAGTATATGTATGTGAATTGACATGTTTTGCTTCAATGCCAATTTGGAAAAAGTATTCTGCATTTTGTGTAGTTGTACTGTTTTCATTTAATGGTTTTCCTTTCCTTTTCCTTTCGAAACACAGTTCTATGGGGATCCTTTACTTAACATCTGGTCAACAAGTGATGTTAATGATGAGGAACAACTATTAATGAGTCAAATAGATTTGACTGGAAATGTGATGAATTAGACATCATTATTTGTTGTTCATGAAAAGTTTACGTTAAGTTATTGTGATTAAGTTTTTGAAGATTTTCATTAATGTGAATTAAAGAATTAAATAAAAAAGTTTGAAGTCAAGCTTGTTTTCTCCTCACCAGCACCAAGTTTGTATTCATTAGAGATCAAGTTCTTTACATAGTAGAAAATAGTAGTGCAGGTTATGAACAAAATGTGGATACTCATAATATACAATGCCCTCCAAAAGTATTGATAAACAGCAAAGTGAGAGTTTAATCTCTGCATTTCTGACCAAATTCTGCAGCATGGTCGAGATAATGTCACAGCCTGGACATGCGTGGTCAACTTTGGAACTGGCTTGCCTCTCTAATAAAGACACTCTCTCTCTCATCAGTGTAACTCATGATGGCAACTGAAGAATTAATTCTGAAGTTTACAGAAACGTATTGTCTGTTTACGCAGAATAAAATGTTTCCATACTTATTAGGTAGCATTTTTCCATGGAGCATGACAATGACATTGACCACACAGTTAATGCCACCAAGAAGATTATCAGACTGGCCAGGTCAATCTCCAGATTTAAGACAGATTGAACATCTTTGAGAATAGGTAAGAGTGCCAAGTGGCTGCAGCAAAGCATCTGACATGATTACAGCATGATGACATGATGAGGTCAATGGGTTGCAGACTTCATGGAATTATTACCACAAATGGATGTGAAACCATTTACGTTTACACTCTGAAATTTAATACAAAATTTAAATAAATGTTACTTGATGATTACTTGAAAACACTTTACTTGAAAATGTTTTTTTAATTATATGAGCAAATGCATAGATTTAATTACCCAAAATAAAATCTATAATATATTGCATTTATCATTCATGTTAATCTCAAGATTACAAATACAGTTGTTCTACTGTGAAGCAAAAGTGTTTTCATTTGCTGTCTCATTTCTTTTGGAGTGCACTGTATGTATGTTGTTATACCCAATTATTTCTATGTCTGCTGTTTGCTCAGCAGCCTATACAGTATGAAGTATAAACTTTTCTAAAATAAGTTTCAAGTGTTGTCCTTAGTACTCAAGGTTAATGCATAAGCATTGAGTTTTCTATCTTTCAAAAGTAATTTGCTGAAAAAAATGTAAGCATTTTGAAATACTAGCTAGTGATAAGAGGTTTAAAAGCATCTTAAACCTATTCAGAAAGATTCTAGCAGAATTTATACTACCAGGGCAGCCTAAATATTTCTGAACTCTCTGTCCACCACTTCCACGCAATGACTGCATTCAATTAGCTTCATTCATTAGATTGTGGAATTGAAGCCTAAACAATTATTGTCTCACTAATTGGCTTGTAAAGGTGGTAAGAAATCAATTACTTTCTCAATGCAGTTGGTCATAAATAGAAATGACTAAGCTTCTTGCTGGATGAGGAAATGAAGCTGCTTCAGAAAGTAAATAAGGCTACCACTTAGCCCTAAGACTACCTTCATTTTGCCAGGAGTCAGTGCTGAGGAATATTATGATAGAAGGGATTTTGAAGATGGTACGGCTTCAATAGTAAATCATGATGCTTTATGTTTAGGCTGTGCTCGGCTTACTTACAGAGTGACTTTTTGTGCTGTGATAGAGATACCCTTCCCTGGATGTCATAACACTTAACGTATGAAAATTTGACATCACAGAAAATTTCACTGTAAATGATTACTGTATATCTAAAGTCTATTTAATACATTCATGTTTTTTAGTCATTTTATTGCACTATATAGTGCATGTGTTATTTTACAATTTTACAATGTGTTTATGTGAAAGTCCTGCATAGAATAGGATAGGAACCTACTACCATCAAAGTATCAACAGTAAATGTGTATAGCTTAAGAGTGAAATCCAACTTTAATATTAGATTTAATTATTCCTTATTGATTTTTGCATTTGGAGATTAAGGAGAACATTGAGGGGAGCAGCCTACTGTATGTTTTTTATTGTTTTATAATATGCCTTTTTTCTTTTTATCTATTCTTAAGATACCTAAAATCCAGAAATTGTTTTCCCAAGATATGTTATTATAACTGACAGCACAAACAACTGGATCGCATAAAACCACAATAAACACCTGCCTAGTTTTCACTTCAATATGGCCATGGTGTATTACCGAATTCATTCAATTGAATGGCAAGCATTCCTAGCAATTATTCCAAAAACAAAACGTGCAACATCTCTGTGATTTTTTTATGTTCCTATTCTAACAGCTCATCCATCACCACAGTTGTTTAGTTAATCTTGCTCTTTGGGAGATTTCCTCCAGTGTCCTGGCACAATTTACTCCCAGACAGCACAAACCCAGTCTCCCATATGAGTCACAATGTACTGGACAAGCAATTTCTGTGGCATAAAAAAGATCAAAGGGACTGAAGTGAATATGCACGTTTAGCTGAAAAAGCATAAAAATGAAGATATTTCAGCTAAAATGATTATTTTAGTGAAGCAGCATGTTTTATTTACACCTTGGTATTATAATAATTTTGATTTTGTCAAAAGAGGGCACCAAAGCATTACACAGTCACTAATGTACACTTGCTTGGGTTTTGGCCATCCATCCTAACTCTGGGCTATCTCTGCAAAATAGTAAAATGCTTTGGAATAATGTCCATCTGTTGGTAATCATCCATCTAAAACTAGTATTTATATGACTTACTGTATTTGAGTTTGAGTTTATTTTTAACATTCAGAGATCATGCCAGCTACTTCGTCTCCTAGTTATGTTTAAACACCTTTAACACTTTCTGTGTGATTGCAAACCTTTTCAATTTTAATTTGGGATTTTGGATGCCAATAAATGACAAGATATATAACGACTATGTAAACAATGATCTCGTTGCTAATAAGATAAATTAAGTTTATAGGAGGCATACTAATTATTATCTTCCAACTGCACCCAAAAATAAAATACAAGCTGTTTAAGTTTTTTTTAATAATGTACCCTATTAAAAAATAATTCATCACATTTGTCAGTTTTCAGAAAGCTGCCCACAGTAACTTTAATTTCCTCATAATTTAAATAAGTTATTTGTACATTGTTATATTACTAATTAAACATCATTATCCATGGTTGTCTCCTGAGTTTGTGCACTTTGTATTTATTTTCAATTTACAGAGCCATCTGATGGTCATAAATATTCTCAAACAAGGCATTCCTCTCTTTACAGATTGTGATTTACTGTACTTTGCATGCCTGACTGGAAGATTCACTCTTGCTGTCCCTTAGTGGCCTCTGTAGAAGGCAGCCATGTTGGCTCAAAGACAGGCCATGATTAGGCACGGAGCCAGAATGGCTGCTGGGAAGTCAAACAATTGGGACCAACTATGTGTTGTTAAACCAAACCAATCTTTATAAGTCCAAAGAAACAAATATAAAAGAGACATCTGAATTGAAAACTGAGAATTTGCTTGTACAAGAAGTTTTGGTTTTACTAAAAAAAACAGCACTAGTCTTACAACAGTTAATAATGATTGAACATCGGTTTAGCACAGCCTCTAAAATGGTGATAGGATTTGTCCATTTTTTTGTGTGTAAAAATTAAAATAAACCCCAAAAAGAGGATCAAATTGATAAGGAGTTTTTTTTTCAGTCCTGGAAGAGGTGTCTTTTTGCATTGATGAGAAGATGAACATTGGACTTGGACATTGACAGATTAGGGGTGATTTATTTATATCAAAAGCATGTGTGTGCTTTTATCAATTTTGCTGTTTCAGTTTTAATGTTTGTTTATCCAGTAAATCTGTTTATGTCAGGCCTTTTTACTTTCCAGTTTCATTGATTTGCTAGTCTAATGCCCATCTCCTGTTTTTCTTGTGTGCATCCATTTTTTGTTTCAATAAAATACACCTCCAGTATGTAGGTGAAATGTTAGATTCTAGTCTTGAGGAATAATAAAATTCTCTGAGCTTTCAATAAACGTTGTTAAAATGCTGCAATTCTGACAGAAGGGTTAAATGTCAGAAAAAGGAGCAATTTCACATTGGGATAAAATACTGTACTGTATGTAGCATTAATTCATTAAAGCATGAATCCCTCAACACAGAGCACCTTGAGGCATTAAGACTTATGTGACTGTAATAGGGCCCTTGGTTCTTTCTTGCTCTTTTAATTATAACTAAAAAGACTTTAATGCCCTCTGTCATGTCTTATTCTGAATTAGAGTCTAAGGTTTTGAGTGCTTAAAAGTAGGAGACTTGTACGTTCACTGAATTTGAATGAAAGGATCCTATCATTTGTCTCCTTGTATGAATAGGAGAAACATTGCAGTGTACCCTTATTTTATAATGTACCCTGAATTTCAAATGTTTTTGTTTAATCCTGTGGTGTTTCTTTCACCATGTTAAAGCAAATTGTTGTTGAGTGAGGTAGAACACTTAAGGTCAGTTTTTTAAACGGTGTTAGACATTGAGAGTCTTCTTATGCACCGAATGGGAAACTGGGGAGAGAATACCCTATCACCAGAATCCCAGAATCACATAGAGTCTATAGTGATGTAGCATAGGGATGTGATTCACAGGGCATGGTTTTCCCTTTTTTATGTCTGTTTTTTCTAAGCTTTCCCCTTCTTAGGATGGCAGTGTTGACAGGCTCAAAAATCACTGATACAGGATTAAGTACACTTCCTGTTCCAGACAGAATAAATGGAGTGTCAGGCTACCAGGAAGATAGGTGTGTTTTCCAGATGGAAGGCTACACAGATCACTCCCACCCTGTCTCCGCACAGACCAGAACTGTCTCTTTACAGAAGGTTGCCCGAAAAAGGTTTACTTTCCTTACACAGGTAAGTAGGAGAAGAACTGCTGCTGTGTTATTTCGTTAGTGCTGACACAAAGCACCACTGTTACTGAATATTATTGCTGATTAGTGGTGATACAGTAAAAGAGCAGTGTTGCTGTTGGGATGTTTTTTGCAGTCTAGCTAAGAAGAGTGGTACTCTGGCTGGCTGGGTTGTTTTTTATCTCTGGTATGTAATTTTCAGTGGCTCCTGCTTACTGCAGAGCCAGGTTTATTTTCAAATTTATTATTATTTTTCCCAATAAATCTTGTGTTTGGGTTGTGTCTGAACTCGGGGACTTCCTCGAATCTATGCCCCTAATTGTAGGCTGCCCCATGTGGCATCACACTATATTATTGAACACCAACAAACACTGTTGCATGATACAGAAATGCATTAGTTTAATGTGTCATTTAACGTATTGCTTCCTTTTCCTTTTCAGCAGCTCTTTGCTTGGGAAATGTGAGATATTCTTTAGAATGTTTATTTAATATTGTCAAGTTCTTTTAAAAGATCTAACTATTGTCACTGTAACTACAGCATTAAATGTTTTAATTTAATTCTAAATTGTTTGCAAATTTGTCCACATGACTAAATTTAATCAAATTTAACTAAATCTGATGTTTAATTAAAACAGATCAATTACAGAAAACCCCTCTATCAGAAACAGGTAATAGGACAATTACAGCACAGAACAGCACAACATATTAATTTGTTAGCTTTGTTGATAGAATGGATCAATTATCCTGTAGAATAACATAGGGTAGAATCTCAAGAGTAGAAACAATTTCTAGCAGTGTACATTTGCCACTACAATGAAAATGATGTTTCTCATTCTCATTGGAAAAGAATGTTAGAAAATACAGCTAGAAAACCATGCTTAATAATTTGTAAATTGATTGCTGTCCATAACAGAATATAAGGGTTGCTAAGGGATGTAGAATCTTAGAGGTTGTACCTCTATTAATTGAAAAATGTTTGTCATGCCTTTAAAAATGAATTAGTTTAGCCTATCACTGTTACTGTAACACTTCCTACTGATAGAACAATCTTTTTTCAAATGTTAAATGATGCTGATACCAAGGTAAATAAAGATAAAAAAGGCAATTTATTTGGATTCTGTTTATCTTTGGCTGTAACCTGTGCAACTGCTCACTTGGCTCAACTCTCTTGAGCATTTGACAGGCATTGGGGAATCAAATTTGGTATGGCCTGACTGCAGCCTTCAGAAAAGACTCATACCACCTGTGAATAATGTTTGTAGCATAAATGCTATGTGCTTTTCCGTTGCAGAGGATATGCGTGCAGTACAGAAACACAAGCTCATGTCTTCAGCAATGAACATTTTGATATGTTGCATGATCACATCACTATTCATGCCAGCCCCTGTAAGAAGAAACAAAAGCAAAACACAAATCAGATGACCTAGATATAGAAACATAACTGTACTAGCTAAAACAGCCTGCTAATAAACATATAAATTATTTCTACGCATTTTAACAGAGCGTGTTTATGCCTTATTTAATTAACCCCTCTAATTTAAAAAAACCCCCACAGAATTACAATATTCCTTTCTCTGTTCTTTTTCTTGAAGATGACAGAATGATTAAAGTCCAAACACATATGTGGACAACATTTAGGTAAAACGTAAATAAACATTGTGTACAGCAGAGAGTATGAAAACTATAAGTTTAGTCCTAATTGTCTCAAGTTGATGGATCTGCTACTTCTCCTTTTCTAGGGATGGCTCTGTTCCAATTTCAGAAGCTCTGCTTTGACCTCTTCATAGTCATGATTTATAAAACCAAGCTGATAGGGTGTAAAACTCTCTGAAATCACACTCTCTTGGTCACTTGAGCCTTGCTTTATGAGGCTAAGGTATGAAATAGCTTAGCGACAGCATTGTCATGGTGGTGCCTGTGTATAGAGTGTTAGCAACTAAAAAACACAACCTTGTCAATAATGACATCTCCAAAGCATACTGTACAGTCAACTTCAATAACAGACCACATTCATTAAAATCAAGTTAAAGATAGATTTGCACTTTCTGTACTTTGAACTTTCTGCTAATTGGTGTCGGTATTAAACCTTTTATTGCTTAATAAATTAACATTTTTAATGAGGACTAATGGAGGGAATGAGGTGGCTGGAGGGATTGTGGTGTACTTGAAAAGACTGGGGCCAATCAAAGAAATGACTCTGAATCGTTTTGAGTCTTGCATATACAGTATTTGTGCTTGTGGTGCTTGAGGTAATATCGTCGTGCCAGAAGTGTGTAGTGAACAAAAAAAGAAAAGGCCTGTAAGTTTCTCTTACAACATGTTCATAGGCTTATGTTGAACACAATAGAAGAAAGACACTTTTTTATATTTTTTTAGGAATATAGTGTGATTTGCATATCAATGCAACGACTCACTTGGTTATTCGTATTAATGAGCAATTCTATTTACTATGTGTGTCGATTTTATGAGAAAGTGTAGATATGTTCAAGGGCTTTTTTCCACTGACACAGTTAAGGTTGCCAAACTTCATTGTAGAAGAAAAACTTTTCACTTTGTGCCTGATTTATGTACCTGAGAGAAACTTTGCACTGGCTTCAATGGAAACCTGATAAGAGCGTTAGGCATGTCTACGGCTTTGGAACAAACGTTGCCCCTGGAAAGAGAAAGAAATGCAAAAGAAGTAAATCAGATACCCCTTGATATTTCTGTGACACGTAGCTAGAAGTGTAATGAAGCAAGT